TTGCTAAGAACTTCATTTGGACAACTTTAAAGATGATTTTCTCAATATTTAGATTTTTTTGCACCCTCAGATTCCAGATTTTCAAATAGTTGTATCTCAGCCAAATATTGTCCGATCCTAACAAACCGTACGTCAATGGAAAGATTATTTATTCAGCTTTCAGATAATGTATAAATCTCAATTTCTTATGACTGGTTTTGTGGTCCAGGGTCACATATATGTTTGTCTATGTATGTAAGTATTTACATAATGTGTGTGTGAATGTGTCTGTGTATATATACATACATTCATAAATATTGTACATACACATATATACATACATATTTATTTATTTATGTTTATGTATGCGTGTGTGTGTGTGTATATATATATATATGCATACATACATACCTACATACATATATATTTACATATGCAAATTTGTTTTATATTTTGTGTATTTTTGTGTATTTACACAAAATAGTTTATACACAAAAATGCACAAAAATAGGTCTATTTGTTTAATCAGTATGTACATGCATACATGTTTGTATAAATTATATTTGCATATATAAATACTGTACATACAATGTGTAAGTAAGTGTATATACAGTGGGTACGGAAAGTATTCAGACCCCCTTAAATTTTTCACTCTTTGTTAGTTCTCTGACAAAGTAACATTTAAATTTAAACATATTATACATGTTTAGGGCCCATTTGAAATGACTTTTTCCTAAATTCCGTTTTATTTATTTATTTTTACAAAATTTTTTTTTTTTCTGGATTAAAAGCATTAACTCATAAAACATACAAATGTAAAAATATTAACAAAAAATGTATTCATCCAAAATTTGTCAAATTACATGACATTCTACACTATACTGTAAATTCAATTTTTTTACTGAATTTTGTGATTCCGTCTACAATTTTCACATCGCAGTGGCATCCAAATATCTGAGAAATGGAGGGTTATTTTTTTGCTTTTTAATTACATTTAGTGCAAAAAAGTACTTAAATTTAGTCATTATAAATAAATTAAAAATAAGTCAAAATAGAGATATTACTTCTGTTTCATTAATCACATTTACATATTCGGCAGATGCTTTTATTCAAATCAACTCACATTATTCAAGATATGCATTTTATCATTTTATGCATTCACTGGGATTCGAACCCTTGACTTTGTGTTGCGAGCACCAACAGTAATGCATGCTGGAAATGGCAGGTCAGGTCAGCGCATTGCATTATGGGATAATGTGCATACTATAAATATAGCAGAAGTTCTGGCAGTGTGATATTGTGAAGAGTTTGTGGACGAGACAAACGGTTTCCTGACACATGAAGCAGAGAACAGAAAGACGATGACAGTCGTTTGCTCTCTTTCTCTCTGGACTCGCGCGTCAGAAGCTCTTGGCTAGTGGCGCGTGCGAACACAATGCTGTAATTGAGGAATTCTGACGGATCCCACAGCGCCGGAGTGTGACAGACAGAACTGCAGACTCTGCTGTAATGACCGTTCGCTGCGGCTTGCCTTCAACACACTACAGTACACAACAAAAACACCCTTTCTCTCAGATTTACTGTACCACACTGATGAGAGTTACAGCAGCTGCAGAATCTGAGCTATAGAGAAACGGTACTTTGAAAATTATAATGATTATATTATATTAATTATATAATTATATTATACTATATATACATATATAC